GGATATCATCAAGAGAGCTGTTCCAGGCAACCAGGGATCGTTATCTGTGGAGATTCATGAGCGCCTACTCTAGTTGGCAGGGCACATGATGACGATCAGTTACTAGTACTATGATGATTGCTGTGTGCGCCTACTCTCAGCAGCAAAACGTGAGAGGAAAATATCATGTGAAACCAAAACCTGCTAATGCTAACACGTGTAAATGCATCACACCCCATCACTGGTCCATAATGGGTTTAACATTACAAGCCCGATATGCCTCAGTGAACACGGGTCCTTTATCTATCTATCTATCTATCTATCTATCTATCTATCTATCTATCTATCTATCTATCTATCTATCTATCTATCTATCTATCTATCTATCTATCTATCTATCTATCTATCTATCTATCTATCTATCTATCTATCTATCTATCTATCTATCTATCTATCTATCTATCTATCTATCTATCTATCTATCTATCTATCTATCTATCTATCTATCTATCTATCTATCTATCTATCTATCTATCTATCTATCTATCTATCTATCTATCTATCTATCTATCTATCTATCTATCTATCTATCTATCTATCTATCTATCTATCTATCTATCTATCTATCTATCTATCTATCTATCTATCTATCTATCTATCTATCTGTCTATCTGTCTGTCTGTCTGTCTGTCTGTCTGTCTGTCTGTCTGTCTGTCTGTCTGTCTGTCTGTCTGTCTGTCTGTCTGTCTGTCTGTCTGTCTGTCTGTCTGTCTGTCTGTCTGTCCGCCTGTCTGTCTGTCTGTCTGTCTGTCTGTCTGTCTGTCTGTCCGCCTGTCCGCCTGTTGCCTGTCCCTCTGTCCGTCTGTCCGTCTGTCCGTGTGTGTCTGTGTATATGTGTGTGTATGTGTGTGTATGTGTGTGAATGTGTGTGTATGTGTGTGTATGTGTGTGTATGTGTGTGTATGTGTGTATGTGTATGTCTGTCTGTCTGTCTGTCTGTCTGTCTGTCTGTCTGTCTGTCTGTCTGTCTGTCTGTCTGTCTGTCTGTCTGTCTGTCTGTCTGTCTGTCTGTCTGTCTGTCTGTCCGTCCGCCCGCCCGCCCGCCCGCCCGCCCGCCCGTATGTACGTACGCATGTACCTACGTATGTACCTACGTATGTATGTATGTATGTATGTATGTATGTATGTATGTATGTATGTATGTATGTATGTATGTATGTATGTATGTATGTATGTATGTATGTATGTATGTATGTATGTATGTATGTATGTATGTATGTATGTATGTATGTATGTATGTATGTATGTATGTATGTATGTATGTATGTATGTATGTATGTATGTATGTATGTATGTATGTATGTATGTATGTATGTATGTATGTATGTATGTATGTATGTATGTATGTATGTATGTATGTATGTATGTATGTATGTATGTATGTATGTATGTATGTATGTATGTATGTATGTATGTATGTATGTATGTATGTATGTATGTATGTATGTATGTACGCACGTACGTAGGTAGGTAGGTAGGTAGGTAGGTAGGTAGGTAGGTAGGTGTGTGTGTGTGTGTGTATGTATGTATGTTTGTTTGTTTGTTTGTTTGCTTGTTTGTTTGTTTGTTTGTTTGTGTGTGTGTGTGTGGTTGTGTGTGTGTGTGTGTATGTATGTATGTATGTATATATGTATGTGTGCATGTGTGCAAGTTTGTGTGTATGTGGATGTATGTGTGTACTGGGTGCCTATGTGTTTGTGTTGTGTGTAAGTGAGTGATTGGCTTTGTGTGTGTCTGTGGGTTTGTGTGTTCACGCATGAGCGTGCGCACATATTTTACCACACATGCTTTTGTTTTTGACTTCATATCCATAATATGCATATTATTACATGAATATAACATGCTTCATTGATGAAATACAACTGCTGTGTGAAAGATGGAAGTTTGGAAGAGCCGAATGTAAGACAGGCCTGCGTGCCTAATTTGTAACCCTTTGAAAATAAAGTTCATTCGTTCGTTCTGTCTACATATCTGTCTGTCTGTCTGTCTTTCTTTCTTTCTTTCTTTCTTTCTTTCTGTTTTTTTAAAGCAATCCTCACGAGGTCACAGGAGATGAGGCCAGACAGGAGCATTTTACAGGTTGCCAAAGAAGAAAAAAAATCCACACAGAACTGGAGAACTGGTGTCGTCTTTAGCCGCTACACGCTGAGGGATATGTTAGGAATGGACCCAGCACTAGGGAACTGAGTAGTTTGATGTGCAGATGGTGTGTGTCTATGTCGATCTATCCGAAAACTGGTAGCAGGTAACGTTCTGTGAAGTAAAGGCGGCCTGCGTAAAGTTGAGCACATCACCAACAAATATCGAACAATTGGTAAAAAATGTACAGTAGTAGACGCTATTGGGTTCCTTTATTTAATTTACTTCACGGATGATGTGTAGACTTTCCTTTATTTTATTTACTTCAGTGATGGTTTGTACTTTCCTTTATTTTATTTACTTCAATGATGATAATGTGTAGACTTTCCTTTTTTTTATTTACTTCAATGATCATGTGTAGACTTTCCTTCATTTTATTTACTTCAATGATCATGTGTAGACTTTCCTTTATTTTATTTACTTCAATGATCATGTGTAGACTTTCCTTTTTTAAATTTATTTCAAGGATCATGAGTAGGGTTTCCTTTATTGTATTTACTTCAATGATCATGTGTAGACTTTACTGCAGTTTACTAATTTAAGGATGATGTATAGGTTTCATTTTACTTACTTCAAGGATGATGTTTAGACTAATATTTTAAAAATATCATGCATCTACTAAAACTTGGCTTTTGACACTGAATTAACTAGAGAAGCCATTGACAGCCTCAGCTTAACGCTTTTGTAACGCCTTTGCTGCGCCTATCCTACGTACATCTTGCTATGATGCAGCTCGCAATTATAGCGGCTTGATCTTTTACTTCTGTGAGTTGTTCACAGACTAACAAGCACTAAACTCATAACCAAATTCCTTTAGCCCTGTCATGGAAGTTTACCGCAGTATTTTATCACTTGCTTCATTACACATATCAAGAATTCACCTCTCATACCAGAAGATTTGAGATATATCAGTGAGTGGAAATTGGGACATTCATTAAGATATTCCTGCCTGATTTATAGATGGAGATTGGAGACCGCGTAGGGTTATCCTTTTGCAGGGGTTCCGCCACAAAGAAAACATTGTGTTAGGCCTGCACAGTAGCCTTAACAATTTTCAGGTGGAGTAAAGTAGGGAGATATTTTCAGTGGCGATGTGTTAAAGCAGTCTGCCTTGTCCTCTGAAACTTGTGGGCTCGTTCGTTACACGGGGCTGCGTCCTTCGTTTAGAAGGGAATTTGGTGTACCGGATTTTTTTTCCACCCCTCACCCCCCCCCCACCCCACCCCCAAATCCCCAGGAGTATTTTCGCTTGAGGTACAGAGCTTATGCTCGGGGGTTGAGTTTTAAGGCATGGCGACGGTCTCAAATGTTGGAGGTACCCGGTTTAAACCCCAGTGAAGGCTTGGATTTTTCTCACGTGGACTTCTAGTTATTTGACCTGGTCTCCATGTAGTAAGATCAGATTCCCGTGTGTATTGTTGCGCACGTAAAAAATTCCCTTTGAAATCCCTTGGAAATCGAAAAAAAAAAAGAGTAGCCTAACGGCGTTGCCATGGCAAAATGTGAAATCAAAAATTTACACACAGTATTTCAGGATTCTCACCGGAGCTACGGAGTTCGTGCACTCCGCTGAGATTCTTCGGACTCAGGCTTGAGTTAGAAGTAGTAGGGAGACTCAAGCTTCAGTTAGAAGTAGCAGGGAGACTCAGGCTTAAGTTAGAAGTAGCAGGGAGACTCAAGCTTCAGTTAGAAGTAGCAGGGAGACTCAGGCTTAAGTTAGAAGTAGCAGGGAGCACTTATGGGTTACTATCCTTGTGCCATGATGTTGATCCGTTGTTTAAACCTAAAACCTAAACCTCAACAGTTTATGTATATGCAACGCTCTCGGCCGGCGGCATGCTATTCTACGGTGTAAGATGAAGCCTTTGGGTGACGAGCTACTTTATTATAAATCCGGCGTGGTGAAAGCTTTCTGGGATCAAATGTACAGTACAATAGAACATACAGAGAATCTATACACTGAAGGACTAATTCAACGACAGGTGAGTAGAGAGTCTGAGAGATATTCAGCACCGAGGGAGAAACATAGGCGAACCTTTAATAATGATGTATCTGGTACTATTAGCGTATCAGCTCTTTGCTGGCAACTAAGGAAGGAGATGGAGCACGTATGGAAATGTCCTGAGTGCTGGGATGTCAATTCTTATTTAAACATTCGTTCGTTTCACAGCCGCCAGCACCACCAAACCACCACCATCATCCCAACCTCTTCCTCTTCTTCACTGCAACTTCACCAAAAATTATATCACTAATTTAACAGGAATTCTGGAATTCAACCAGTGGTGACACTAATGTACTGTATTTGCCAGAAGCCAGAAAACACACAACTAACTTTAGTAACGAGTCTCAGACACTTAATCGACTACGTGACCTAGGAGTGAAGCTTAATGAAGCATCTATATCTGCTTCGAAATCAAGATAACAGACTACAGTATGGGAGATGAAACACACATGTGAACAACCAATGTGCAGTGATATCAGTCATACTAACGTAACAATAGCAACTTCTTCTTCTTCTTCTTCTTCTTCTTCTTCTTCTTCTTCTTCTTCTTCTTCTTCTTCTTCTTTTTCTTCTTCTTCTTCTTCTTCTTCTTCTTCTTCTTCTTCTTCTTCTTCTTCTTCTTCTTCTTCTTCTTCCTTCTCCTTCTTCTTCTTCTTCTTCTTCTTCTTCTTCTTCTTCTTCTTCTTCTTCTTTTTCTTCCATCACTCCATAATTTCCGAGGTCTTCCACTCACTCTATACCCGTTGTAACGTTTTAGAGCGAGTGGAAGACCTCGGAAAATATAGCAACAACATAACAAAAGAAGAAATTATTTACTTACTTTGTTAGCCAGAACTGAGATGATCAAAGTACCGTTGCCCACCAGGCCAATCACAAAGATCAGACCAAAGACAACAGGAACGACTCTGCTCTCGACGGTATCATATATGGACCATCTGAAAAAGAAAGTAAACACAATGATGTTTAATTGATGAACAACCAAGTGTAGAACAAGATAAATCAGCAGCAAGACATTACTTTTTCCAAACTAAGTAACTTTTGCAGTATCCTGAATGGAAGGCTCTGTATAACTTCGGCTGCAATAGCAAATAATTTCTGTTTCATTTCTAGTCATTATCATCATCAGGTGCCTTGCCGACTGGCGTGGGCGATCATGCCTCTCCAAAATCTACGATCTCCTGTAGCATGTATAAGTTCGTGTGCCGACACACCTCCATGCCATGCAACAAGACTGTCAAGAATCTTCTCTCGGTGTCTTCCTCTATCCCTCCTTCAACAGATATTTCCAGTGGTCACAACATGTGCTATTTTTCATCTTCTCATAACATGGCTAAAAAATGATGACTGTCTCCTTCTGATGTCTGTGATAAGTTGTCTTCGGGCTCCAGCCTCTTTCAAAACCTCTTGGTTGCTCTTTTTGGCCGTCCAGGGTATTCTAAGCAGTCTTCTGTAAAACGACATCTCTGAGGCTTCTAGAAATTGTTTTGCCTGCATACCGATTGTCCAGGATTCACATCCATATGTTAAAACTGGATGTATGTAACAAACAAGAACTCTTTTTCTAACTCTCAATGACAAGAATATATTGCACAAGATGTTCTTAATTTTATAAAATGCAGTTTTTGCCTGTCCTATTCTGATTCTTATCTCAGTTATGCATCTTCCATCTGATGTTATCCATGTGACCAGATACTAAAATTTCTGTACTTGTCCCAAAATAACACCATCAACCTTTATTACACATTTAGGAGTAAATTTCTATTACTAAATTATTTTAGGTTAGAGTGAGAAAAATGTTTCTTGACTTAAATAATTGAAAGTCATAAACAATGGTGATTTCAGTATTTAGGCAGACGGATAACGGGTTAGAGTGAGACAAATATTTCTCTGCTTGAATAATTGAAAGTCATTAAAAAAAAATAGTGATTCCAGTATTTAGGCGGACAGATAACTGGTTAGAGTGAGGAAAAATGAGCCTCGGCTTGAATAACTGAAAGTCATAAACGATGGTGATTCCAGTATTTAGGCAGACGTATAACGTCGAATGGAAGACAACACATTTTATAAACAGAATAAGTCAGGAAAAAACCTTCAGTTTATAAAATGAAGAATAGTGTATGCAATAAACGTTTGTCATTAAAGAATTAGTTACAATGTTAGATAGAACCAGTTTTAAAAGGTAGCTGCGAAGAAGCAAAATTTTCTTCGAGACCTCGGAGATGTGGTCTTACAGCTAAATGCTCAAAACTCCTTGGACAACCACTATACGTAATCTAATTGTTTTGAAAAAGTCTAAGAAGGCAAATTATCAGAAACCATTAGAAAAAGTCATATTCTTTTGACAGAGTACGAGAAGACCAAACTTGAGACACGTTGTTATAGCCGGTTTTACTGACATACACAAAGGAAAACAAAACTTGAAAGACGTTGTGACAGCAGATTTTATTGACATATACACAGAGGAAGACAAATAGGGGATACTGCTTAATCCCCAAGTGGGTTCCAGGAACCCATTGTGAGAGTGGGGTGGAAGGGAAAAGGGGGGGGGGGCTGTTTCATTGCCACATCCACCCGCTTTCCTCAATAGACATCTCGTAAAACCCAAATAATTATGGGTGTCTCTTTTGAAGTCAGAGAGTATCTGTTAGAAAGGGGAGGAACCAGTAGTCTGCATACATTTACGTCCGATCTGTAAAAGGATGTGCACGCGAAACACAATTTATGGCATAAGACTATGGTCCAGAATTATCACCATAACTATCCGCCGGAGTTAAATCTGCCAAGAGAAGTAGACAAAGATTGCTAGGAGCATTTTGTCATTGAGCTGATATGTGTCAGTACACGATTTGGCTAATGCAAGGGATCTACGTGGCTTTAAGCTTGCTGAAAACTTTTTGGACAACCAGAATGAGTAACTAATGTGTCTTCCAAGAGGCCAGGGCCCCAAAGACTACTTACCACGTATATCAGAAGGATACAGTCCTTACTGTTTAAATTGAAGGAAACTGGATCATGTTGTCACACCCGGTAAGATTTTTGGAAAGAGTGACAGAGGAAAACACATGAGAAGATTCTTCACGGCCATTTGCCACGACAGAGAATAAGTAATGTAGAAAAACGAAGCGATATGTTTTTTTTTTTTTTTTTGGAGATCTCACTTTGTGCAATAGCACGATCGCCCACGCCAGCTGGCAAGACATTTGATGATGATGATGATAATGACAGGAATTGATACACACTGTAGGAAAACGTAAGATGTGGAGAAGCATGGTCGCCCTTGCCAGTCGATAAAGAACAATATAATGCCGCACTCATCAGTCACCATCTTTCCCAAACATTCGCAAATCACGGGATAATAAATAAAGACACTTTTAAATAAAGAGCTATTTTAGTCTCATTAATTTCCACATCTTCTGAGAGAGAAAAAAAAAATAACAATAGTTTTCCGATAAATAAACTCGAACTTTCGCAATTTCCCTTTCTTTCGTACCGGCTACAGTTTTGTTAAAGACTTAGCAATGGTTTTAATTGACCCCTGAAAGGCATTGGGAAAACTGTAATTACCTTTGAGTTGTCCCGAGTTCTTTAGCAAAAAACTTCGTTTGTGTGAGTAAACCTGTAAACCTGTGAGTAAATGCTGTAACATCAATAGCCTGTTGTATATATTTACGTGGATTGTATATTTTCCTATACGGTTGTAAGAGTGGGACTCTCACTGTGGGAATGGAAAGGAGGATTCAGGCTTTCGAAAGTAAATGCTATAGAGAGGCATCTTACGAATTAGTTTTTTTAGGGAAAAAAAAACTGACATTTATGTCAGAGACAAAATAGAACATATTTGAAGGACAGCAGGCACAACTCTTGGCAGTGGTGAAACGTCGAAAACTAGCTTGTTTAGGGCACGCGGTGAGACATGATTCAATCGCAAAAACGCCTTCAAGGAACATGGGGGGGGGGCGGGTAGTCGAAGAAGAGGAGGACAAAGAATAATCTGGAATGACAACATCAAGAAGCCGACAGGACTTAGTTGTCACACACTTGTTCATCAAGCGGGAAAACAGAGAAAAATGGCGGGTTCTGTGTGTTAGTGCTTCCGTCGATGCCGCCCCTCCACGACCCTAACGAGTCAAGGGTTATGTTACATGTTATGTACACTGATACCGGTAAACATACATACAACCACTCACACATACATCGGACATGCAAATATACAAAATATGTTACTGAACACACGCATGTTTGTTATAGCACACTGTATGTTCTCTAAATGCGCGCACAAACGTAGATGGACAATTTCAGCCCTCTTACCAAAAGAAGCCCTGGATGTACGAGTATATAACATCAAATAGTCTATTCTGTACACACACACGCAGGTAATCTGGTAATCTGGTAATCCTAGTTTCCGCTTCATAGCAAACGGGTCACCCCACAGTTGCTCCGCTCCTGTGCCAAAGAAAAACAAACGCAGCTCACAGTGTCACGCCATTCACTCAACTCAGAAGCTGGGCGACGAAACTACATCCTTCCAGTCTACAAATGGAGCAAAAATGCAACGGCCACCGTCTGGCAGAAAAAAAAAAAAACATTTGCCACGGCTTTTAAAAAAAGGTGGCCGTGCCTAGCGTCCATTTTGACCGGAAGCATTATATGAGGGTTAATAAACGGTCACCCCAACAGTACCCTCATTATTAGCTGGGGAAGGGACTTAGGACATTACATCCACCAGCAGGCGTCGCCCCCACAACGACCTGCCTGCCATCGTTAACGACTGTTCACCCAACAGCCATGCAGTTCTTTGGCACGAAGGAGACACCTCGAACTTGGGTTTCGGACTGCCGACTCCCTATTAAGATGTTATTTTATGTTTTGTAATCACAATTGATGTCACTGCACATTGGGCATACCCATGCGTGCTCAGTTCTCCGAAGCAGCAGCCACTCCAAAGTACTTCTACTAATTGTCCCCATAAGCGTACACATATATGCCCAAGCGTACACACATATACGCAGGCGTACAAACATACACGCAGGCGTACACACACAAACTCTGGCGTACATACTTACGCCTAAGTGTACACACATACGCCCAAGCGTACACACATACACGCAGGCTTACACACATATTCACAGACAAATAGACATTGTTTTTTTTTTTTTTTAGAAGAAACAGAAGTCGAAGGTGTGGCTTATAAAATCACAGGCAAGAATTACCAGCAAGAATGTATAAACATGGAAAAAGACATATTCGGGATGAAAACGTATAAGCCAGGAGAATTTTAACCAGAAGCCTGCACCCACAACCCAAGAAAATTTCTAAATGATGTCCTTAACCGTTTACAGAGGTTATCATTTTAGGTTTCTGTTTAGATATTTTCAGATTTTGTCAAGCAGCGTATGTGGCTTAGGCGTTGCGAGTCTGACTCGAAATTCCAACGTATCCAACTATCGAAATCCACTGCTGGCAGCGTGGATTTTTATAATGGTGTGGGGCGTCGCAGGTCGACCCAGCCTTAAATGGGTTCCAGGATGTATGGCCAGGGGAAGTAAAGACAGCCGGCGTAATGCTGACCACATTATCCACCTAGTGCCGATTGGTGTGTAAACAAATGGGTTTCTTCCGATATGCCCGATGCGCCTAAGGAGTGAAAAGGGATCTTCACTTACCTTTTGTCAAGTGCAATATTATATCCGCTTGGCATTTAGCAGCACACAATGATAATAGTAATTATTAGTATTACTATTTTGCGCGCGTAAACAAGGTTAACCTTAGCTGATGCCTCTTATGTGCCCTATAAAATTATAAGGAGGTTAAGAACTGTTTCTCCCTCTCCCCCCCCCCCTTTTCCCGTTCCTCATTCTTTTCACGACTTCTTATTAAGATATTTTTTGACTGGCATACAGGCTGTAAACCAAAAGGTGAATCGAAATCTCTGGCC